TAACTAAGTCTAACAGTTGATATATACTATTTGTATCCTTTTGTTTATACCAAAAAGAAGAAACAGATATACTAAAGTTGATGCTTGGTCTCATGCTTCCTTAGCAATTTCTCTCCATAGCACCAAGAGTATGCCCTGTGGGGTTGTGCAGAGCATATATTATGAATAGGTGGATCTTTTTGTTGTTCATATTTGAGCAAATCCTCTTTTTCCTTTTTTTTTTTTTTTTTTTTTTTTTTTTTTTTTGTGTTTTGCAGATTATTCTTTTGGGAAGTGATGGAATTGAGCGCCCATTCCTTTGCAAGCCCAAGGATGATCTCAGGAAAGATGCACGTATGATGGAATTCAATGCTATGGTTAATCGTCTGCTATCTAAGTGCTCTGAAAGTCGCAGGAGGAAGCTTTATATTCGCACATTTGCAGTGATACCACTGACAGAAGATTGTGGTATGGTTGAGTGGGTTCCTCAGACCCGTGGGCTTCGACAAATACTCCAAGACATCTACATAAGCTGTGGAAAATTTGATAGACAAAAAACAAATCCTCAAGTTAAGCGTATTTATGATCAGTGCCTGGGTAAAATGCCAGAAGATGAAATGTTGAAGAACAAAATCCTTCCAATGTTCCCTCCAGCTTTCCATAAATGGTTCTTGAACATGTTTTCGGAACCAGCTGCTTGGTTCAGGGCTCGGGTTGCATATGCTCATACTACTGCTGTTTGGTCAATGGTTGGTCATATAGTGGGCCTTGGAGATAGGCATGGCGAAAATATCCTCTTTGATTCAACCACTGGTGACTGTGTTCATGTTGATTTCAGCTGTTTATTTGACAAAGGTTTGCAGTTAGAGAAACCTGAACTGGTGCCTTTCAGGCTAACACAGGTAAGAAGAAGAGAACAACCATCTTTTGCCATATTAGCATTGGTGAAAAGTTTGAAATTTATCTTGGTAATCAGATTGGATTTGAATTTGGTAGGAATATTCATGTTTTATGACTTACTCGTTACATTGACCACATGCAGAACATGATTGATGGCTTGGGCATTACTGGTTATGAAGGAATCTTCCTAAAGGTTTGCGAGATCACGCTTTCTGTATTACGGGCACATAGAGAGACACTAATGAGTGTCCTTGAAACTTTCATCCACGATCCTCTGGTGGAATGGACTAAATCTCATAAATCTAGTGGGGTGGAGGTCCAAAATCCTCATGCACAGGTTGGAGCTTTTATCACCTGTCCTTAATAATTGTGCTACAGTTTCCGTTATGCTTTTATCTCTGGTAAATGAATTAATGAGTTTTGATAGGCGAAATTGACTTTCGTTTCCTTTTGTATTGTGGGTAACATTCTTATACATTATCTTCCTAATGTATATGCAGTATGCATATGGTGTATATAGCTTTAGATTTCCTTGGTTATCTTTCGAAGTAGACTAGTTAGGAACTGAGTTTTTGTAAGATATCTGAATATGGATTGTGATACTTTTGTTAGAACCTGATGTGTAACCCACTGCAGAATCTGTTTTTTTGTTTTTGTCTTTATAGAAGTGCCCGCTAATGAAAAAAAAGAGGTTCATAAAACTGTACAAAAATGATCCTCATTTCCCTTAAAGGCCGTCATATTTTTCTCTTTGAACAACCCGCATAAGCGCTGACAGGGAAATATCCCACGCCGTGCTTCATCCTATGTCTTCTAAAGGCCCAGCTGAATCGAGCATCCATCACTGTAGCTGGCACATTATCCCAAACCATCTTAAAATCTTCTCCCACTAAAGTCGTGATGCTGCCGGACAATGCAGAAGAAAGTGGTCCATGTCCTCCCACCACAGCCATCTTCTGCTAGTTAATCTAAGTGTTGTCCTTTTTGTGTTGAAGTTAGTAAGACAACAATTTCTTGTGGTGTGATGCCTTCAAAAGATGACAAGAAAAAACTGGGTTGAGTGGACAAATTGCATTAGTTGCCTTAAGCACAAGGATTCTTTCTACTAAGTATTGCTCTAATTGTACTTTTCTCTTGTAATATTTTTGACATAACTGCTAATTTGATTTAGTTGAAATTTGCAGCGAGCAATCAGTAACATAGAAGCACGGTTGCAAGGAATTGTTGTTGGTGTTGGAGCTGCACCATCTTTACCTCTTGCTGTGGAAGGGCAAGCTCGTCGTCTGATTGCTGAAGCTGTTTCACATAAAAATCTTGGCAAGATGTATATATGGTGGATGCCGTGGTTTTAAACCTCTGTGATGCCAATTATTTGCAAAACGTATATCTATGTTCTCCTTGAATTCTGCAAAATTGGTTAAAACCTGCAGCATCGAGTTCTGCAAAATTTGTTGTGACCTTGTCAGGCATCTCTGGGAAGATACAGTCTGTAAGTAAACCATTTACTTTTTCGAAAATAAAAAAAGGTACATGCTCTGCCCTTTCAAATGTTCTGTGTAGTGCTCTTCATGTCCATGTGGATCATTCAATGAGCATGTATGTGCATAAAATGATACATTTTGGAGGCACCTCACATTTTATTTTATTTTTTGTTGATGAAGTAAAAATGTAGTGCTTAGGATTTGAACAAAGAACCTTAAGGTGAATTTTGAACCATCTCCTCACATGGTTCTATCAGCACTTTTGTACTTCCAGTTTTCACAAATCTGCTTGAGAATTGTTAGACTGCTTAACTTCTGGTTATCTGATTTTTGTTTGCACCGGTAATTGATCCGACTGATTGCTTTTGGGAGCTTTAACGGAAAGTTGAATTTTTCTACTGCCTAGTGTCTGAAAGTGAATGATCCAACTCATTCAGTCATAAGTACAAGAAGTTCACACCCTAGGGCGTAAACATAATAAATTAGTTAAGAAACAAGATTTAAGGCCACACATTTCAGTTATTTGAGGAGGAAGTGGTAATAGTTCTGCAGGAAGTGCTTGGAATTTGCATTTTTCGTTTTTATGCATTTGATCTAGTATAGCTTTATTATAGGTAACCTGCAATTAATGGATTTATGGTGCATTAGGTTGTTTGCGTGATTTACTACTATTTTACTTTTTTTTTTTTTTTTTTTTTTGTGTGTTGGGTGTGTGTGTGTGGGGTGGGGGTGGGGGGGGGGGGTACTGAAAGACAGCAGTTGCATAAGTAATTGATGTTGGTCATTTTTTTTGTGAAGTAACTTTCTGGATAATATATGAGAAACTAGTTGAAGTGGCTTGTCACCCTTATTGCCCTGAAAATCTTGAATACACTTATGAAATTCTGCTGATGGATCTCACCTTTCTTGCACACAGGAGGATTGGTTGAATAGTGGCTGGCAGGCTGTAATACACTTTCAGTAGACAGTATGACTATATTCTTGTAAAAAGATCCTCCAGTCTTCTTTGGAATATGCTCGCGTGCACTGTGTAAATTTTCTAGCACAAGTAGAAATCTTGGTTGATTGGTTGGGTAAGAGCAATCTATGCTGCAACTTGGTTTTGCCTGTCTTTGTTTTACTTGATAATGCTTCATTCACATTAGGAGCTCAATGACTTTGGTTTGCTTATGAAGCCATCAAGACTCAAAGAGACAGGACTTGTGTCACATATTTGCTTGATATCTTGCAAATCTTTCTGATTGATTTGCTCAGTGGGACTTACAATTGCTGAAGTTGATGACCGTCCGCTTGGAACCCGGAGATTCATATGATAACCAAGTACTAGTACTAGGTGCATGAATAGCTCTTGAAGAATGATTATTCAGCAAAAATGCTGATGGTTCAATGGCCGAAGATGATATTCCACACAAGTTGCATACTTAACCTATGTTGTCTAATTCAACGATATAAGGCAGTTGAGGGGTATTAGGGAATTGGTGAGGATTAACAAAATGAATTCGAAGCTACCCTGTTTTCCAATTAGGCGTGGATGATGGGATCAGCCATTTGTGCAAGTCAAAGATCTTGCTCCTATACCCTGTGAAGATAAAAAGATGAAAAGAGGCTGAAACACAAGCATCCAATTAACTTGAATTGACCAATGGTGCGAATAAAACCCAATTTGAGGATGTAATACTTGATTTCTTCGAATGGGATATTTTGAATTTGGCCTGTGTAAAATGTCCTTAGTGTCCTTTTGCAAATGTAAGTTTGTTCCGTTGTTACTTGGCTTAAATTTGGTAAATTATAAACACGTGTCACCTCGACTGACATAGTTCCATTGACTAAAGCTTCACAAACTATTTTTATATTTGTGAGTCATGGCAGATCTCGAGAATTTAACCAATGTCCATCAGTAAATTGGCATTATGTGGAAACGATTTCTTTCATTACTATTTTGTCAATGATGTAGTGGATATAGGCATGCGTAAAAATGAATATGAGAGTTCAAAGATTTTATTTTTTTGTTATTTCTTCAAATAATAATGTTCTTACACTAAATGATATTATGTATTAATACTTCTTCAATTTTATTTATGTTTTAGTTAACATTTTTAAAATCATTCTAAAAAATTAACATAAAACAAAAATTGTGGAATTTTTGAATTCTTGAAATTGATTTCATTGGTCATAGCTTTACATAAGAACACAGAATTAAATCTACTTTAATGAAAATAAAATAAAATAAATATATATAATAGTGAAAAAACAATTCAAGTCTTTAGGATTAAAAATAATTTATCTGAAATTTCAAAGATATTATTTAATATAAAATAAATTAATATATAAATAAAAAATCTTTATAAAGTACGAAAAAAAATGATCACAACCTCTCATATTAATTTGTGGGTATATCCCACGTCCATTACACCATTAAACAATAATGAAGGGGATTTTTTCCGGCATTACCATGTTGCTCGGACGTAATATTAAAATCCGAGGACCTAATATCCTATTAAAAAAATAGGGTACAAATAAAAAAAAAAAATGTATATACAAATACCAAAGGACTCAAAATCGTATTGAGGAGTTAAAAGAGGGAAAAAATAAATATGGTATAAATTGGGTGAGATGTAAAAGGGAGTGCAGTGTGTTCGTTTCCCTTGTCGCAGTTGCAAAATACAATCAGTAAGAACCAAAGCGTATAGTAGCGGCGAGATCGTTTGATTACGATTTCAAGTTAATCCTATACAATCTCAATCAATCAATTCGATTGCCATTGTCCGTGTCTACATACATGTAGAATTTGACTCCCCAGTAATTTATTTATATACACAGTAGAAGAACCATCAAATTCACTCTATTCTGATCGTGACGATGAGGAAAACGACCAGAAGTAGCATCGATTGTGCAGTTGTTGATGTTTGGAAACGGGCAGTCGGTGAACTCTCTACCAGAAATTTCGCCCACCGTCTCGGTGCCTCTGAGGTACTTTCTTCTCATTCCTTGTTCATTAGTATTTTTCTGCAATTCTATTCATTAGTGTTTTTCATGATGAAATTCTATTCATTACTGTTTCTCTTGAAAGTTTTGATGCAATTCTATTCATTACTACTTTTCTTCTAAGTTTTGATGCAATTCTATTCATTAGTATTTTTCTTGAAAGTATTGATGCAATTCTATGTATTGTTAGGTGTAGTTGTATGATAAAGTGAATTTTCTGATCGTCTCTGCATTAGTTGTTTATTGTTACATGAGTTTATGATCATTGGATGATGTCAAGGTGAACTAGTCACAATTTATTTTCGGCTGGTTATTCGTAAATTTTACTCCTGGCTATATGATATACCAGGATTTTTTTGGTTATTATCCTTTCACTGTTTTTTCTTGTTCTTCAATTTAGATTATCACTTGTGTTTTTTGTGCTTTGATTATCACATTATTTTGTTGTCATTATTGTACTTTCCTCTTTGTGTTGTTTACTGGTCCTATTTCACATTATACTGCTCTCATTTATGTATTCCCCTTTTTCAAACTGTTTGGGAAAACTTTATGTTAAACCGAGGGTTATGGAAACCTCTCTATCTCTACAAGGTAGGGATAAAGTCTGCGTACAAACTCTACCTTCCTCTCCAGACCCCACTTGTGGGATTGGTATGTTGTTGTTGTTATTCTTTTACTTATTGTTTGGATGAGTTTGGGATCCTTGAAATATGTTAAGGTGAAAAGTGTTTTCCCCTATATTTATCACTTTTATTGCTGTTAAAACAATAACATTGTATCATTATAGATTTATAGTTATTGTTGCTGCTGCTGCTTTGCATCAATCCATGCATATATCCTTAGTTTAGTTGACCATATTATTATTAGGGATATAGATTATGCAGCATTTGTTATTACACAGACTGAAGCTTAGGACAAAGGCAGAGTAGGTTGTTTTGCATTCTCTTAGCTCTTACCTTATTTCCTTTCTTTAGTTTTGCGCTCTTAAGAAAATTTGAAGTATCCATTTCATCAGGAAATAGAAAGAGAGAGAACTGTAAATTTGATACAGAATCAATTTGCTTAATTGTTGCATTGACTTAGATGGTGACCATAAATTTGTTCAGGTGTACTTGGCCAAGGGTGGAGTGGTTGTTAAGTGCTCTCCCCTTCTCCATTTGTGTCCTTAATTATTCTGAATATGACCTCAGCGGAAGAGCTTATTTTCATTTCTATATAGATTCTTTTTGATGTGTTCTATTTATGTTCCAAGTTATGTCTCAGAACCCAGGCCGTGGTAACTTTTATTTCAGGATCTTGTGCTCCGGCTTGATGTCTTCCGGAAGCTGGAGAAGCACCGGGGCTGTGTGAATACGGTTAGCTTCAATGCTGATGGTGATATAGTCATATCAGGTTCTGATGACCGAAGGATCATACTCTGGGACTGGGAAACTGGGAAAATTGCACTTTCATTCCATTCAGGTCATCATAACAATGTCTTTCAAGCAAAAATCATGCCATACACTGATGATCGAAGCATTGTTACCTGTGCTGCCGATGGACAGGTAGCTACTTTTTGTTGGTTTCTTTTCATCAAGGTGTTTCATGTAGGTCATCGTTTTCCTATATGGTATGCCATCTTTGCCTTGCATTTAATTATTCTTTCCTTGTTCCTCCTGAAAAGGGGCACTTATTTCTTTCTTAGGGGTTGCCGATGTACTTTGAAACCACAAAAGGATTATAGTTCACTTCTGCCACTACATCCAGTGAGAAAAAAGACATTGTTATTTTACACTTAAATGATAACAATCATGCAGGTGAGACAAGCACAGATTCTAGAACATGGGAAGGTGGAAACAAAGTTGCTGGCCAAACATCAAGGGCGAGCTCACAAATTGGCAATTGAACCAGCAAGCCCCCATATTGTTTACACTTGTGGAGAAGATGGATTAGTTCAACATGTGAGTTACCGGTAGTTCTATAGTCCTTCCCGTATATGAGACTTTCATCTCGTACAGCTCAAGCAAAAACACCCAAATACTAAGTTCTGATCCCATCTTCTCTGGAAAATCCGAAAGCTCTTCTTTACGGCGATAATACCAAAATATCAAGTTGGCGCAGTCGTCTTTAAAGTTTTTTTCTTTGCTTTTTTTGGGTTAGGAAGACTTGGATAGTGTGGCGCAGGGAGAGTGTATGAAGATATGGATTAAGCTCTCTTGAAAACTCGCATTTTGTGAAAATAATTTGCATTCATGTGTGCACATGGTAAAAATAGAGCACAACAAAATTAAATAATTGAACTTTTTTCTCAGAATCATTTATAAATGTGGATTTATTGTATTTAATTGCCTCATTTTGAAAAATTGTAGAGGATTGCTTCTTTTTTTCCTATCTCTCATATACAGAACAACCGCATCCTTCTTCTGTTTGGGAATCATATATATGTTAACATTAGTTGAGGTAAAAACACTAGGTCGTCCTTTTCAACACCCCCCTCCCCAGGCAAAAACTCCAGGTGCCTTATGTCCAAACTTTGGTGGATAGAGTTATCCGATACTTGTGTTTGGAAGGGGTACTTGTACTGGTGGGATGTAGTAGGTATCTCATGGACTTAGTGAGGTGAGGTGTGCAAGCTAGCCTGGACACCAATGGTTATATGAAAAAACATAGTTATAAATCAAACTCATAAGGAGTAATATGTTGCAGGAAATTAGATATAATCTCCTTTATATTGTTGTAAGTGATTACTCAAAAAAAAACGGTTTGATGGGAATAAAGAATTAAAAGAGAAAAACTAGAACACTGAAATACCAAGAGATTGAGACTTTGACAAGTAGGTATGGACATTGTTAAGGTTTCCCACAGATTCTTTCGTCTGAGCGTTATATGGCTAATGGTTTGATTTAATGTGTTCTGACAGATAGATTTGAGAACAGACACTGCTACAGAGCTTTTTACTTGCCAACCCCTGCGGATGAGGAGATATATGTCTGTACTTCATCTAAATGCAATTACGATAGATCCAAGAAAACCCTATTTGTTTGCTGTTGCTGGATCAGATGAATTTGCTAGAATTTTCGACATTCGCAAATATAAGTGGGATGGATCCACTGATTTTGGCCAGCCAGTTGACTATTTCTGTCCCCCACATCTAGTTGGTGATGAGAATGTGGGGATAACAGGCTTGGCTTTCTCTGACCAGAGTGAGCTTCTTGTTTCATATAATGAAGAGCTCATTTATCTTTTCACAAAGGACATGGGGCTGGGACCTGATCCATCCCCTACATCGCCATTGTACAATGAAAGTGATGAGAGCGAAATGGGCCAAGAACCCGAATCTGATGCATCTGCAGTTGTCATGGAGTCTGGAGCAAACATTGGTCCACAAGTCTACAAGGGGCACAGAAACTCTGAAACAGTTAAGGGCGTGAACTTTTTTGGGCCCAAGTGTGAATATGTTGTGAGTGGATCAGATTGTGGTAGAATTTTTATATGGAAGAAAAGGGGTGGGGATCTTGTTCGTGTTATGGAAGCAGATAAGCATGTAGTGAACTGCATTGAGTCCCATCCTCATACCGCGATGCTTGCCAGCAGTGGAATTGAGAATGACATAAAAATATGGACTCCAAAAGCCACTGAAAGAGCTATTTTACCTACAAATATTCAAAAGGTATGTGATATCACAATAAAGATTCAATTATGAAGCACATAAGTTTATTTATTGTAGGTTCTTTAGCTTGTCCGTCTCAACAATTTTGTTGGAAATAATACAAGAGTCACTTCTGTTGATGCACGCTCGAAGGGGGAGATGTTTTAATTGCCCTCAATATCTCATGATTTTATCATTGGGTAAGAGTATCCGAAGGGTTACTTCACCTTTGGTGATCACACACCGACCCGGGCAATCACTAGCTACAATCGATGGAATTTTGATTGAAACTTTATAAATTTGGTTCACCTTTTCAGGAATTTCCCGGGACAGTAGGGGTAAATAAGTTATACATTAGCAAGTCCTCCTTGACTTCAGCTGCCTTACATATCCTGATCATCTAAAGCTAAGCTAGTAATTGGACAACATTTAGTTAGATTGCTACTACTTATTTAGAATATTACGATACGACAAATGGTTGATAATTATATATTCAAACATCGTACCTAATAGATACCTAAACACAAAATTAGTAGAAATATCAAATCCTGAAATTTGAATGGTTCTTTTTCAGTTGCATCCCTTATTAAACTTCACTTAGGTCTCATTTGTTTTCATTAAGATTAAGACGTATAATTTGAATGCACATGATGTGCATTCAGATTTTGAGGTTTGAATCTAAAGACACATCTAAAAACTAAATAATTAAACTATTTGTTTTCTCACCATCTGAATGTATAAAATTTGTCTTTGTTTGAAAAATAATAAATATAAAATTTAAATAAAATACTAAATTGATTTAATAGTATATCAATAAAATATTTTAAAATTTGTACATGACAATTGGTGTTGGTGATGATTACGATGGTGATTGTGTGTGTCGATTTTGGATGGTGTTGACTGATAGGGTGGTTGTGGATAGTATTATATGGTATAGTGGTTGACAGTAGTGATTAACATTGGTGGTTTTTGATGGCGGCTAATAATTAGCCGTGGAACAATAGTGATAGCTAATGGCGGTGGTGAGTGATGATAACGGTTAACGATATATAATGTCGACCAATGATAGTAATTGTCGGTTGTGATTAGTGGATGTAATAATGATTGATCGTAATGATTGCAAATGATTGCTAATGGTGATGATGATTGGTTTTGGTGATTGAGGGTAGTGGTGGTTGTGGTTGAGCTGAGGATAGTGGTTGTGGGATGGTAGGTGGTGGGAAGTGTTTGGGTAATTCAAAAAGTGTTTTTAAGCACTTCTTAAGGCTTAAAAAGTACCAAAAAAGGTGAAAAGTCAAAAGTTGGGCTTACAAGTCACTTTCAAAAAGCCCATCCAAACACCCCCTAAGACTTTGTTATAGATTAAGATCTTGTTTGACATTGCTGTTAAAAACTGCTTATTTGTAGAGTTACTTTTTAAAAATGACTTTTCTTAAAAGTGCTTTTGAAAAAAAACAATTTGTGTTTGGTTAATTCTTTTTAGTGTTTTTTCATAAGCAAATTACGTTTGATTAATCTTTTTCAAAAAGTGTTTTTGAGAGTCAAATTACGAAAAAGGATAAGTTTTAATGTACTTTTTTAATATTAAGATTATTTTATAGAAAGAAAATATTTTAAAAATTTTAATACATTTTTATTTTTATTAAATTAGAATGTACATGTTCAATTTTCAATCAAAATTATACCTTCTTTTAGAAGGGTTGAAATTTTTGATTGTTCTTTTATTTTTCTTTCTAATCTTGCAAAAATATTGTTGTTACCTTTTTTTTTTAGTTTTGCAAAATAATACGTAAAATAATAATATATAAACATAAATTAAAATAAAAAGTTTATTATATAAAAATAAAAAATAAAAACTTTAAATGTGTTAATTAATTAATAAGAGATATATTGGTAAATATGTATGTATTGAAGGGATATTTTAGTCTTGAAAAAGAAAAATTCTCTTTGTGTTTCTGCTTTTTTCAAGAAAGAATTTTTTAGCTTCTTTCCTACAATAGAAAAAACTTCTTCTGCTTCCATTTAAAAGCACTTATATTGATTTGCCAAATGCTTAATTTTTTTAAAAAAAAGTGATTTTGCTCAAAATAAGTGTTTTTGGCCTCCCAGCAACAATGCCAAACAGGCTGCAAGATCTGAATAATTAAGATTTAGACTTTGAAAACAAACCAACTTAATGAATGAGATCTAAATGATTAAATATAAGACATTCATTAAGCGCATTGAACCTAAGTTATAAACGAATTGGATTTTACCCGCACACTTGACTGTAAAGGTGTCAAAGCATTGAACTAAGACACTTATTATAGTAAACTTATTTCCATCTCGTTCTGATCATTCTAATAAGAGATGAATGTAAGGCTGTTTTCAACCCTTGTGCTCTGGGAATTTTCCTGCAACGTTACTAGAATTTATCTCCTTATCATGAAAAGAAAGCCACAAAAGTAAATGAGGTCTCCTTTAACCGGAAAAAAGAACAAGATATATGCAATTTCACTGAAGTATCTTACTGCGAAATGATCTTGTCTTACTTGGGGAAAAAAGAAGAAAAGAACCTAAGTAAAGGTACTTGGAAAGTATTTAAGAATGGCGAAGCAGGATCAGGTGAATCTGGAAACCAGAAATTTTAAAAAGATTTGGGTAGTTCAGTCATCAGGGGAGCTGGGAAAGAAAGATTGTTTTCCTTATTTATTTTATTCCACTAGCTAATTTGTTGTATTTCTGGTGTGTAGTCCTGATCCGTATGTGTGCATTGTTCCATCATTATCTTTATGCCATCACTCTTATATTGACATTTTGTATGTCATAGAAAAAACTTGGAACATGTATATTTTTGTTAATACCTTAACTGTGTTCCACTGTAGAGTCAAATATCCCAAAAAAGGTCTATCTTGAACTGACACAGTCGTTTGTTACTTATTGTGGTCCTGATCCCTTTCTTGGGTGTGATAAATTTCATGCATGTGGTAAGGATATTATCCAAGAAACTGATATTAGATCGCTAATCTGTGCTATTGATCTTATGGAAGCATAAGTAGCTCTATTTAACTGCTAATATTTCTATTAATTAAGGGTTCAACACCTCATCAATTTCATTTATTCAATTATGGCGGTGCGGAAGATAATGGCATCTACTTCTTTGGTACCGGAAGTGACGATGAGTATGGTGGTAGTAGTGACAATGAGGATGAAGATGATAGTGATATGGATGAAGATGATGAAGATTTCTCCGATGGTATGGATGATAATGATGATGACGATGACGACGATAGTGATGATGATGATGACGACGACAACGATGATGATGGTTTTGATTTTTTAGATACACACGAAGATGGAAATGGTGTTGAGTTCTTTGAAACTGTTGGGGACCCTGATTTTGACGATTCCTCAGATAATGACCAAGATGCTCCTAGTGATTCATGCTGTGATGATGATGACTCCAATGAAAATGACATTGATGAATGATGATGTTGCAACAGTAACATGGATTATGTTACTTCTCGTGAAAGATGATATTATGCCTGTTACATGTGCTGATGATTTTGCACTTTGTGTTTCCAGCAGAGACCTAAAGCAAGGGGCTGGATGCATCACATGGCTTCTCCAGAGGACCTAATGTTGCAATTACTTTCCCAGCAAAGACAAAGAACAAACCTGGGGAGCATTGAAGAAAATTCAGAGGTTGGTGCAACGCATTTTGACATTTAATGCAAATAGTGATAATTCTTCTGATGATGGTGAAGCTACTACAAGTGGTCAAGACTCTTTTGACTGAGTGGTTTGGTTGCAACTTTAATTCAATACATGTTTAGGAAGTGTACATATATAAGATACTGAATAAATCAAAATCTTTTAACTTTTGATATTTGTTTTTACTTTGCAAGTTTCTTTTTAATTGAGCCGGTATCAATTGTTGTCTATTCCTTGGATTATGCTTCTCTTTGTTGGGTACGATGGAATATGCTGCAAACAAGCGCTAACGCAGTGTATTCCTCAGAAAACTATTAATTTACTTAATGTGACAAATAAGATATTTTCCATACATCTACTGCATTTTACTGCTGGGATGGTGTGTTAAGTATTAGAAGAACATCTGGATATCTCTCTTTTAAACTTTTTTTCTTATTGATTTTTGTTTTTGGATAGAGGGAGAGATTTGATCCAGTTTCATGTTTATATTTGTGCTTAAGAGGGGATGGGGCTACAGTGTTTTTACCCTTTTCAGGTCTAATCTTCGCTCTTTGAAAGATGAGGATTATACTTGGTGGAGAGCCGAACTTTCACCAGTCAACCAACTTGACATGAAAGAAGTTAGTTTTTTGTTTAATTATGTACTCTGTTAATAGAAAAACTAAATGTGCTATGCCGCCTCGTGTTGAAAAGAAAAAAAATGGGCAAGAGCTTTGCTGCGAGCCTCTATAATTCATAGATAGAATTAATATAAGCAAATCTGAAGAAATTATTAGTTTATATAACTGCTAAAAAAAATAAAGCAGATAATGTGCAATCAAAGTTTCAAACATGGGGAATTTATTATCATTCATCTTCTTATAATGTTCCTCTTTACCATCGGATATATTTGAAAATCGGAATTTAAGGATTGACTCATTACTCAATGCTCATCTTGCTTCATTATTGTTAGAGTTCTTAAAAGCTTGAAAACTCACAAATTGGTTTTGAATTATTATTTTTTTACAAAATGATGATTGTGGTTTGTTGGGGTGTCATTTCAATTTTAGTTGTAGTTCAAAATTTGAAGTAATTCGAGAAGAAATGGACCCATTTCAAATGTTGAAGTTCATAGGAGACCAAGCACAATTTTGTATAAATTAGCATTTACATTTCAAAAGTGTGTATATGCATCTCTTATACACTTCTATATAAATTTATATTTATATTTTGTGTACTGTAATTGTATAATGTTGTATTAGCACTATTGCAACAAAAAAAAGAGTCGTACGGGTGAATGCAAAATATATGCTATGTATATGTAATTATTATTTGTACGTATTAGAATGTACTTATATTTTTTGTACGGCTTCTTATTCCAATTAATTGTATTAGAATGGATATTTTCTTTTGTAAGAATCCCTGTTATAAATGTATCATTTATATTTTCATTAATTTTTTCCCTAACTTACTCCTTTCATCAGATTTCAAAAAGAACGAAAAAGGATAAACTCTTATTAGTTAACTATATAAGTTTTGGCATTATCCTCTCTATCAATGTTTTCCTAGTTTAGGAGATTTAATAGAATTAATACAAGCAAATCAAAAAAAATTATTTCTCTATATAACTGCTAAAAAATTATGCACATAATATACAACAACAACAACAACAAAAAGTTTCAAACATGGAAAATTTCCTCTATGTGACACTATTACTTGTCCTATTCTCAAACATCTCAGTTTCAACAAATGTAAACTTTCATCTTTCTCTCAATTACACATCCATTTTGCAAGCCAGAAAAAATTTCATGTCTCTTGATACCTCTAATCTTTCTTATCATTCACCATATTCTTACAGTCTTCCCATTTACCATCGCGATGTATTTGAAAAATCAGACTTCAAGGATTATGACTCATTACTCGATGCTCGTCTTGCTCGATGCATGGAGAGATCAGTGAATTTATTTTCATATGATCAAAATTCTACTAGTAGTAGACATTTTGCACAAGTTAACCCTATAAAAACAGTAATCTATCCTTTACATGGTGAAGCTGTAGTCCCCCTTTGGATTGGCTCTAAATTACGACGTGAACTTTTACTTGTTGATACTGGAAGTCGTCACGTTTGGTGGCAATGTGGTCCATGTGAACCAAAAAAATGTTACAAACAAAGGAACGATGAATTATATTATTCAACTGAATCCACTACTTTTGAACAAATTAATTGTGTCAAAGAGAGTGCAAGTTGTGTCGAGGGACGTAGTAGAGTTCATTGCTCTAAAGAAGAAACAAAATGTTTTTATGAAGTAAGATATGGATATCATGGAAGTACAATTACTTCTGGATTTATGGCTTATGAAATCATAACATTTTCTAATATACTAGATTATGCAAGAATTATATTTGGTTGTGGAAAAAATCAATTTAAGGGGGATACAAAATTCCCAAGATTATTTAGTGGAATTGCTGGTGTTGGTGGTGGTTTATATACAAATGGATTTGAGACATATTCATTACCATCACAAGTTGGTGCAATTGTATTTGCTTTTTGCATTCCTACTCCAACCTCAGGGAAGTCCTCTACACTTACTTTTCACGAAACCCCATGGAAAACAGGTCAGTATTGTCTCGTTTTTTTTTTTAACTTAACACGTAGTTTAAGAAACTAAAAAAAAACTTTGATCAATAATAAGTAGTAATAGATGAAGTAATTTTGACAACAGGTGTAACGGCAACGCTGATGAGGAACGACAAGTTTCCTTCATTTTACTACATATCGAACTTGGAAAAAATTATGATTAATAATAGGGAAGTTCCAATTGATCCATCTCATTGGGATTTGGGCCCAGATAAATATGGTGGCATATTTGTTGATACAGGAGCCTATGTTACCTCATTTCCTGATGATGTTTATGTCAAATTTAGGGACATATTTATGTCACAAGTTAAAAATATGCAATTGGATCCAAGTTCACCAACTTCATTTGATACTTGTTATATGGCTGGTGAATTTGTTAATTGGGACAATTTTCCAGTTGTGAAGTTTTATTTTAAAGGTAGTGCAATACCTCTTGTAGTGAAACAACAACAAGTGATGATACTATATAGGAAAAAATATTGTTTGGGGTTTCAAAGTTCAGGTCGTAAGAGGTCTGTAATAGGTGCTAATATGTTACAAACTTTAGGATTGACATTTGATCTTGAAATGTGGAAGTTGACTTTTTCCCCAGATGCTTGTGAATGAATAAAATACTACTTACTAGTATAATCTTTGGTTGACTTGGAGTATTGATCAAATGTCAAATGATGTTGCTCAAGAAAACAAAGAAGGAAATTTTTGATACTCTATTTTTCTAAGGAAACAATCTCTCTATCCATACAAAGATAGGAGTAAGGTCATATACATCATATTTCTCAAATTCCACCCGTGACACAAAAACACTCATACAAATATATCATTTGAAAATTGTGTATAAAATGGATTTTAGATGTACAAATTAATAGAGTTTGTTGAATTATTTTCCTTCAAGCCTCCTAGCAAAGGACATCCCTGATTTTGTGTCTTGAATTATAGGTACCAAACCAGCTTATCATCATACTAGGTATAATTGCTATTAACTGCGCAAAACATTTGACGAAATCATCATTAGCGTTGCACAATTTCTAATGCATGTGTCGATAATATTAAAAATCAGATCACTTAAATAAAGAATCGGAGTTAAAATGAACAAGAAAAAGGTTAACATATGTTGAACTAAATTAATAAGTATAATTGCTTACCCAAGCAAGGCCGCTGCAAAATATACTAAAACCAGGATAATCAAATGGAGCTCTCTCAGATAAGAAAAGATCTATAAACATATGAATTGAATATTGTTAGCTTGACATCAAATATTAAAAATTCAGATAAAATTAGCAAAATTAATTTAATATAGTTGAACAGCAACTTAATTACCTGTCAAAGGACTAAATATAAATGGAGAGAGAATGTTTGCAAAGGAGCTTACGCCAGAAATGCACCCTTGAGCAATTCCCTATCAAGTTGAAACAAAAAAAAATCATATATGTGTATATTAACGTGTTGTAGCAGGTTACTTGTCTTATTTTTCTGGTCACTAATTCCACTTATGTGAATAGTTACATATAATTATCTTTTAAGTAATTTGATATTTGTATAATTCTTTTATAATGTTAATGTCTAGAAGTTTAAACTTGTATACCACAATAATACATATGTATGTTGATTACCTGCTCGTTTGGCGCAACTTGTTTTGAAACAATGGTTTGTAACTAAAACAGATAAAGCGTTTATCATTAATATTCAACTATATGATAAAATCAATCATCAACTAATCGACTCTTTTTTTTTAAAGAAAACTTACAGCTGGTTTTGCTAGGAAGAGAAACATAGGAAACAAAGCACCTACATAAGGAACCTGAAATATATCATGAAAAATTGTGATAAATGTAAAAAAAAAAAAAAGATATCTTTGAATTGGAAAATATGCTAAAACTATCATATGTGAAGTTCAAGCTTTAGCTTACCCAAGCTGCCCATGCAATGCTATCTATTAGCATCTGCAAAATATAAATAGAAATATCGATCAATTACTTGTACTCCATAGTTTCGAATTAGTTTGGATAGACTATATAATCATTTGAGTTTAGGTATGTTTGGTACGATAAAAGTTCATTTCTATTGAAAATATTCTCTTTTTTAAAAAAAATATTGGAAAATATTTTCAGGAAAAAAAAAAAAGAAACTACACAAATTCGTAAAAAAATGCATACATTGCTAAAACCAGCTATGAGTGCCAAGGAAAGTATTGTCTCTTCTCTGACTATATGAGCCAACTTAGGCAATACGATTAACTGCTCCAAAAAATTGACAAGGAAAGACAAAATTATTATAAGAACAATTAAAATTTAGTACATGAAATTAATTAAGTTGATTTACTTTTTTTTTTTTTAAAATGAATAATAAATTTGAACATGTACTTGAGAAAATGTTGTCCCGCCGTAGCAAATAAGCATTAGAACAGAAAAATTGTCTTTGTTGTATTGAAATCGAGCCCTTAAGAAGTACTACAAAATAATAATACAAAAAAAAAATGTTAGTTGTAAGGTAATTAATTATTAAATTATATATTCAATCGACAATTTTAGAGAGCTAGAGTTACCAGAAGGGAAGTTTGTATTCCACCCTCACCAAGACCATATAAGAATAAAATAAATGTTGCCAATAAAAGTGTGGTACTGCAAAAATAAAAATTTAATTAAATGAATATGAGAAAAATGCACAAGTAAATTAATACTTTGTTAAATTCGTGATATGTTGCGTGTTTATTTCTTTTCTTCTTTCTCAATTTTATAGATATAGATATAGATATGTACACTTTAATTTAATTTCTACTATAGTCATCAATTTAAAAACATAAAGAAGAATGTCATAACTAATAATAATTAGTCTTATATATGTCAATTATAAAATTTTCTCTTCAATTATTTTGGAATTAAGCTACAGTTGATTAATTAATTGAATCTTTTATTTAAATATTTTGAAGAAACAAGCAACAGATAATTCATGATGGGCCGAACTATTAATATGTCTCTTGTAACAAAACAAAAAATCAGAGGAAATAAATATATATTTTCGTATATATCATAACATTTTCAAGTTATGTTCTTTAACACTTTGAGGGCCATTCGTGCAGTCTTTTTCAAACTTTTTATCAATCGTCTTTTTCAAACTTTTTAGGAGATAAAATAGCCATAGCCCATTAGTACATAAACAAGTAACATCGTAAATCTTTGTGTCTTTAGCTATATCATATACATAATTTAAAGTTAGAATGAAAACTTTATGACTTTTTCAACAACAATATCATAATTCATAAGATACCAAAAGATGGTGCTAAGCATTATCATTCATTAATGGGAAAAAGGATAAATATACCCCAACTATCCTAAATGGTATGCAGATACCCTTCATCATACTTTTGGGACATTGGTGCCCCTACTGTCCAAAAACTAGAGCATATATGTCCTTTACTCTAACGGAAGATTAAATAGGGACATGTGGCGCAATCTTATCCTTCGATCCGATATTTAATAAATGACAGGTCGGTGGATAAGATTATGACACGGGTGCGTCTGTTAGTATAAAGGGTATATATGCTCTAATTTTTGGACGGCAAGGGCACTAATGTCCCAAAAGTATGACGGATGGTATCTACATACCATTTACGATAGTTTGGGGGATATATTTGTCGTTTTTCCCTTTATTAATGCCTAACGAAAGTCTTTTCTTTTAAAAAAATTTAGGCACTCTTCCCATGTGTTTAGGTTGAATTATTTTTAACTACCAAATGATTGAATTTGAATAAATAAGAAAAAGAAAAGGTAGCGTAGTAATTTATAGGTATAAGAGCAGCCATATTACCTACTCTTGAGCAAGCTAATAATATGGTAAAATGATGGAATATTTATAGGACTGGGCGTTCCCTCGGATGAGTCACTTTCAGATTTATCATCGTCGTTGGCTAATATGGGTTGATTCAGAGCATCGTAGTTGATCTTATTAATGTGACGAGTTGTGTCCTTTAGGAATATTGTCATGTATAATACCGCGGCTGATGAAGAAATTGATGATACCTTCATTCCAATAAAATTAGTATAACATATACTCCCTTACTAACTAGACATTATATATAAGAGTGAACCATACCAGAAATATTTGTTCAGTCGAGAGGAAACGAACAACAAAGGTAGAGCATAAAAATGCAGCAGAGCCTACACCCGCCACAGTTGCGATAGCAGAAGCGCGATTCTCCTCTGACATGCAATCAGCCTGAAGCGGATTCAAAATTTATATTTCATCAAATTTAAGTGAGCTAAAACTAGGTTCATATATTACCGCATAAGCAATGGGAATGCATTGAATGCCAGTATCACTGATCATGCCAGTCAAGGTCCTTATCACATAGTAAGCATAAAAATAGTTTGTTGTCCTCCTGTACGCCATTATTACTTGAAAAATCGAAAAAAAAAAAAAAAAACAGGTACTATTAGTTGTTTGTTCAAAAATGTACCAAACATATTTTGATAGATATAATTTATTTATTTTAATTTGAATTTCAGAACCTGAAGGAAAAATCAAGAGTGCGACGGGAATTGTGAGCAAAGCTTTCCTTCCATATACATCAGATAGATTTCCAATTAGGGGCATCAGCAACATTGATCCCAATCCCGTAATCTGCAATCAATCATCACGAATTAATCATAGTATAGTAGTATATTTTTCAATATTAATGAAAATAGAAGAATTGGTGTACTTACAGCTTGTTGGAAACCAGAAAGATAAATAGCAAGAGAGCACTTGTCTTGAGAAGGACAAATTGCATCCATAGTGATATCAGTAATTGCTGGAATCACCACATAAAAAGCAAAATTTGAGAGGAACACTGTCACAAATAAGTGTTTCAAACTGCTAATCTTTTCCATATTATGTTCTGTTTTTGCTCTGCTTCAAGTGCTCATCTGTCTAATAGAATGTTGTGCTGCTACCTTTATATTTCTACAAACAATATAGAGTTGACAATTTGTTTTGTTGCTTCTCTGGGAAATTCAATTATTATGCCTTACTGGTATAGTTGGTGAAAAAGATAATGGATTAAGCTCTATCCCAGTGACAATTATATATAGTATTCAATACATTCCGATTGTTAATACTTTAATCCAAAAATGCTCATGTGATTACTTAATTGGGTCGGGAATTAGCGATATATGAACCATCTTGTGCATAGTATCTTTATACGTATACTACCAACCTCTAACTAACACAGCATCTAACTACATTATACATGGATGAATTAGGTCATGTTCTACACTATAATGGAACCTTTTGAACTACCCATTATTAAATGACTAGAATAATAGTATATTGGAATTTGGAACATCCATTCCGCATGTTTGCTTACTTTATTTGATTACGTGGGAACTACTTAGTATCAAATCTTATTAGTTGAATTATTCATGCTTTCCCAGAATATAAATTACAGAAACTCCAACTGTTTGGGTGCTAAGTTACATTATATCCCGAAAGTTTTCCAAATTCTAATAATCCCGATTTTTTCAAAACTCACGAATACATTACTCTTTCGTCGGTAAATATCAAATGATACATGAGTTATGTATTAGATAAAATGTAAGGACTTTCCTCGTGCTCGTTGCCTTCTTTTGAAGTTGGTTTTTGGGCTTCTTCAAATAGGATTTTCATCCTCTTTGGAATTGGACCTTTGCCAGTAGCTTATTGGAAGTCCAGTTCATTTTTCCATTTACATAATAATCTTGTGGGGACCTAAATACTGGAACACATAGTAATGGTGGAGAAAAAATCTTTTTAGTCATTTCAGCGGAGGTGGCAAAATTAGCCCAATCTATTGTGGTTTTGGACAGGCAAATAATACGCTTATTTCATAAAGGGTAAAAAATATCCCTAAAGGGGAAACTAATTAATTATATAGGTATTTTACCGATTATCTCTATTGAAGAATAAGTATTTAATGCTGATGATAAAACATGAAAAGAAATAATTTTTTTTTTTTATGATATGTCAAAAGTAACAAGTAAAAATGAAAATCTATTTTAGGAATAAGTGACAAGGAAAAGTGAACTGAAAAAGTATTCCCTCCGCTCATTATTTCTAAAATAGATATTTTTTTTACTTGTCACTTTTGACATATCAAGAAAAGATAATATTTTTTTCATGTTTTACCCTCAATATTAAATACTTACTCCCTCCATTCCTATTTATATGCCACTTTTTTATTCATGTGCATTAAGAAATTTAGTAAGTTTACCATTCTATCCTTATTTAATTTTTTTAAGTCAACTTTTCAATCAATGAATACGAATTAATTTATTTTGATTAATTAATTTTACGAATGAACATGAATTATTCACTTGATTTTTCTATGTTGGTTAAATGTATATTTTCAAGGCTAATAACTCACAAGGGTAAAATAGGAAGAATATTGTAATTTATGTATTGATTTTATGAAATAACAAATATTATGGACCAATTATTTATAGTAAGGATGACATATAAAAAAGAACGGGAAAAATATTATTTTCAAAATCACTTTTCGAGACATCATTTAATAGAGATAGTTTGGTAAAATACAAATCCAATACTCCTTCCGTCCCATTTTATGTGGCACTTTTCGAATATCGAGATTCAAACAAGTCTATCTTTGACCGTAAATTTTTCATAGATCTTTTAAACGTTTTAAATTTTTAATTATTGTAACTTATAGTACTTTTTACGTAGTTTACAAATATATAAATTTCATTTCAAAAAAATTGAAGATTTCATGCGCAAATTTCTGGTCAAACTTAAATAGTTTGACTGTTGAAAACGAAAAGTGTCATATAAATTGCAACAGAGGGAGTAATTATTTTCTTAATGAATGTGTCAATTCAAAGTATGACAAGTAAAATTGAATGGGGTGAGTATTAAATTTGGCCAAACTTATAGACTCAGCACTCTACCTCGGTACCTCCGCCCATTTTTGCATAATTAGCATAATATGAGTAATAATGATGATTGTTTGGTCCCCTATAGAGTGATAGGCAAAGGAAAAACATTGTTCTTGAGGTTCTAATTATTCATCAATAACCGTTATTGACCATAGTTCGAACTTTTTTTGTTATAAAAAAAGAGAAGAATAATTAATTGGGAAAATTGTATGAAATAGCAAATTATTAATTCAAATTAACTGTTATAGTTATAGTTTATTTTAATTGTAATTCGCAGCAAACATTCCCTTTTTTTTTGCTATTTGATTCGGTATACAATTAGTCATTTTCGGTATACAATTAGTCATTTTATACATTTCGGTATAAAATGCATTTGTGTTTGTATAAAGCGAGAGAAAAGTGTATATACAAATATAAATATATATATTTTTGTCATATACACTTATAATTATACAAATACAAATTTTATTAAACAATTTACAATGTATAAATGAATTTATACAAAACTAAACTATTTGTATAAAATTGGATGTTTTTAGCGAATTATACATATCAAAAGCTCAATAGCAAACAGAAAATTTGCTATGGAGCGCAATTATGCAAACTATACCTATAACATACAAATATGATTTTTATGTTTGCTATATGTGAAAGTTGCTCAAATTAATTAGGGTAAGTAAAAGAAAATGAGAAAGATTAACAGATGGAGAATCAAAACTGTTATTAAAAAAAAGTCCAGATAATCAACTAATTAAACTATTAAAATTCACTAATTTGCAACTCACAACTCATAAGAGCATATAAACTTCATTAGATCACTAATTAAGATTAGAGTTGTCAATATGGGCTAGCCCATCCCATTCGGGCAAATCCATACAGGCTTTGACACTTTACGAGCCAGGCCAGACTAGCCCATTTTTTGTGTGGGCCAGAAAACGGTCGACCCAACCCACAAGTACGTGGGCTACAGGTTTGTCGGGTTAGCCCACTTTTTTAAAAGTTATATTTATTTTTTTTATAATTATTAAATTAAATTATAATTTATAATTTATAATTTAAAAATATTATCATAAATATCAACGAAACAATATTACATGGTGTTAGTGTTACTACTTGTTAATCAAATCCACAAATAAATTATCTTTATAATATTTATTAAGTTTTTTTTCAAGTAAAAGTATAAATATCTTAAATAGAAATATTAACTTAACTGTTTTGAACCCTGAGGGGTAGCTCAGCTGGTAAAGGCCTGGGACAAAGTCCTTCAGGTCGCTGGTTCGAGCCCCAGCAGGGCCACTGGAGACATTACAAACCGGCCGCGTCTCCAGGGCCCCGTGGAACTAACCGTGGTGGACCCGCCTTGAAACAGCGGGACCCGGTGGGTACAGCTAGTCGGGTTCGCAAAGCGACGCCCGGAAACCACGGTAAAAAAAAAAAAAAACTTAACTGTTTTGCAATGATCACAATAAAACACAAAAAATATGACAATATTTCAACCATAAAAAAGTAAAAAATAAACTCCTTTAAAAATCATGAAACTTATGGCGTATTTAACACTTCATGAAACCTATGGCGTATCTAACACTTCATGATCATCTTCATCAAGCATATCTGAATCAACTTGTGGGAAGGTTGTCTTAATATCTTCATTTTCATCTGCAATTTATATGTTGTTTCAATTAGTTAAATATTAAAAAATAACAAAATTGAGAATTATAATATTTAAATGTACGCAAAAATATATTACCAGTTTGAGAAAAAAATCATGTAACCAGTTTCGAGTAGCAACAAGTGTTTGGACATTTTCATGGTGGATGCAACTTCTATATAGTTAGTGATTTTCTAAAAAACTTTAAATAGATTTTGAGTTTGGATCTCTTTAATTTTAAATTTTTATATTATATTATATTATATTTTTTAATTAATTTTTATTGATCCACGGGTTGGCCCTACCTATATTTCTCAAGTCCCATAAATTAACAGGTTTATTCAAGCCGGAATAAAAAATCCTTTTTTTAAATGAACTCCAAAAAATCTAGCCCAACCTTATTAAATACCGGGTTAAACCAGACCGACCCAATATAACTAACCTATATTGACGGCTCTAATTAAGATGATCTAAATATACATCATCTTAATTAAACTTCACTATATTATTATAATAATATTATGCCAATAAAGAAGATGTGTTCCCGGCAACTTGGCCGTACAATCAAGATAAATACCAAAAGTACAAAAGCACTATAAAATTGCTTTAATTAAAGTCTTAATTCATATGTGGCCTCTTAAAAACGTACGCATAATTTATGTAGACACTTCAACTGAGGCTAGTACCTATTGAACACTTTTATCTATTTAAACCTTGTTTCTATTAGACATTTTTCGATAATCAGCAACAAAATATAAAGTGTGTGTGATACACTCTCGATGACATGGTAAAATGATTAATGAAAAGATGACATGTGGCAAGTGGGCCCCAAAAATTATAGAAAATAAATTTTAAATTTTAAAAAATAAAATTTATTTCAAATACATTTTCAATCTTTTTTTCTTACGTATAAAATATTGGAAATAATTTCACATACTATTCAGCCCTATGCTACCCCACCTCCTTTCTTCTTCCCTGCAACATTCATTTCCCAAACCACTAAATTCAATATCTTATCAAATTACTTATCGATTCAGTTGTTTTAAAAAATATATTTTTCTTACCTAATACGTGAAAGAGATATATAGAAAGAGACACGTACAAGAGTGATGAAGAAGTCGAGTTTGTTAAAGATAATTAATTTAAAATTGATTGCAAAAGAAAAATCAAGAGGACCCAATTTAATTTTCAAATTATTTGATATTATTTTTTATAAGTTAAATTGTATTTTAATTTGAGTGGCAGTGTTTGTTTGAAGGTGGGCGGAAATGAAGCTATCGGCTAAAGTTTTAACTCCAATATCCAAAAATCTTCT